TCTCTCTCTCTCTCATTTTCTTGCTTCTTCTTTCTGCAATTTGATTGTTCGATGGCTATAAATTGCTTCTCGATTATGGTATTCTCTTACAATGGCTATAATTGTATCTGTGATTTGTTCTTGTGTGATTATTAGGGGATCAGAGGCAGAATCTCTGACAAAAAATAACTATTCTGTCTATCCTCCACGAACAGGTGCGTTTGATCTCTTAATTTGTTTTTAGTTTTCATATCACAATGGTTAATTTAGCTTTTGTTGAATACTCTGAAACCATTCGGAAGTTATACTAGTAGAATATGTTCCTTAGGCTCAGTTCCTCGAGTGATTCGACTTTTATATTCTTGATGTGTTATGTTTCTGGGTTTTTTTACAATGAATTCAATAGTGTGAATAAATTGTTCGGTTTGTGTCCTGTTCTGAATTTATAGGTAAATTTGTACTGAGGTTGAGATAGGGGCTAAAAGAATCTGATAGGGCACTTAATCCTCTCATTTGTGAAGGACATATTGACGTTCTTTAGGTTCGACAAATGGTGAAATGATGTTCTTTTCTCCAGAAGTTATGTATATATTATGTACTCATTTAAAGGTTGAAACTTTTTTGTGTATATTGTGCACTTTTGGTATGGAAGAACGATCTGGTTTTGTGGTAGCTCATGAATTCAGTTTCGCAACAGTCAGAATGTAACTTTCTGGATAGGTTTCCAAGTTTTGCACAAATTTATGCAAAATATGTTCCTGGGGATATTAAAATGCGTCGGCCTCTGTAACATGCTACCCATCTTCACTTAAATTATCATAGAGGGTCTTTACGTTGTAATGTGAAGGCAGTTGTATTGGAGTTTGGTAATATATTTGTTAACACGCTAGATATACATAGATGTAGTCTTGATCAAACTTGGGAGGTGGAATCAAGTTGAATGAAGGCAATGTGGAGTTTAGACAGAATGCGAGTAACTTATAAGAACCTGAGGGAAGCACATAAAATGAATATTACTATGGTCCGCAAAGCTGGATGCTGATGTTTTATCAGCGTACTTTTTCTTTTAAATCATTGTATGATCGACATAGAAAGAGTTGGGCTATTTATGTCTTGGCCAAACTAGTTCAAATAGTAAAAATGGTGGAATCGGGCAGGTGCACACCTGATCTCTATAATTTTGTACACCTATAATTTCTTTTGTTTTACAAATTTGTGCCTTTCTATCTTAGAGGCCAATCATTTTTTTGAATGCTAATTTTCCTGCGAATAGATTCACTGAGAAAAATCATTGCCTTCTGAACTTATCTCTTCATTGTATGAATTTAGTTTCTGAAATTACTTCTGGCCTTTGTACTTTTCAAGTTACAATTCAAAAGAACATACTTGACAATATTATTAGCTCCAGGTTTGCAATCAAGACGAGTTCCAGAAAAGGGGTACATTTTTTCACTTTGGAATAAAATATTCTTTTATTTAGCTCCCAAGGAATCTGCATGTTATTGTCAAACCAAAATGATAAAATCATTTTAATTAATTAGAAGAAGGAATGCATGATACAGTTAACATAACTTTACATGGTCTGCAATATTATGCAAGTTACTCTGTTATAATCGGTCAAACGTGTTTATGCAAGTTTTCATCACAGAAAAAGGTGAAATGGAGCAGAATGAAAGCGGGTGCGAGCAGCCTCAAGCTCCGGCACTTTGCGTCAACAACTGTGGCTTTTTTGGAACAGCTGCAACCATGAACATGTGTTCCAAGTGCTACAAAGACCTCTTCTTAAAGCAAGAGCAAGCCAAACTTGCCGCCTCATCTTTCCAGAGTATCGTGAACGGGAGCTCGTCAAGCGTTACCGACAAGGATTCAATTATCCCAGAAAATATCGAACCAGACGGTCCCAAATCTGAGATTGTGGGCCCACAAGCACCCTCTGCACTGCCCAAAGTTGAGGAAAACGAGGAAGTTAAAAAAGGTCCAAATAAATGCGGCATGTGCAGGAAGCGTGTGGGCTTGACGGGCTTCACCTGTAGGTGTGGTAGTATTTTCTGTTCTGTTCATAGGTACTCAGACAAACATGAGTGCACGTTTGACTATCGTTCGGCTGGCCAAGAAGCCATAGCCAAGGCTAACCCAGTTGTCAAGGCGGATAAAATCAACAAGATATGATGGAATAACAGAGTTGTGGCCAGAGTGTGATGGAATTCGGTGGAACTTGGTCGTACTTGGCATGTAATGCTTTCCATATGCTCGCCTCCAGGTTGTGTGATGCAGTGTTCAAGTGGCAGTATAAACTCTATTGGAATCTAAGAATGTAACGTTATGTGGTGTTTAATGCTTGTTTGAAAGTATGGTTTGATGGTTGTGCCTCTCTAGTGTTCTTTTGTATTCTGACTTTTTGTTGTGGATGATTTTCTTTATATCTAGCCACGGTTTTCTAAGCAGTCTAAGCAGTGTAGGGCAAGAAATTGAGAATAAAAGTTTTATTTTTTATTTATTTTCACTACCTTCAAAATAAAATTATTTCAACTTATAATAATTCACACATTTAAATCAAAAAAAATAATATTCATACATTATAAAAAATATAATAACAGGATAATGTAATTTTTATTTAAATAAAAAATTATTGTTGAGCCTACCTAAGAGCGCTTGGGTGGGGTTGCGTGTTCGACTGCCAAGCCTGCCTATGAGTTCTTAAGACCGGCGCCTCTGCCAAGCCCGCCTGTGAGTTCTTAAGACTATTTAGGTGCCGTTGATTCATGCAAATCGGAGGCGGTCGGGTGGTGCATAGCGCCTCCGCGGCCATCTAAGCTGATTTTTTGTACAATGATGATTTATATAATTAAGTATATTTATATTTTTTTTGCAAGTGGAGATATATATTAGAAAAACTGACTTGATATTTTTAGTTTTGTTTGTTAATTATTTGATTTTATAATTTTGGAATCTAACTTACTGTATAAATCATATTGGAAAAACTGACTTGATATTTTTAGTTTTATTTGTTAATTATTTGATTTTATAATTTTGGAATCTAACTTACTGTATATATCATTTTTACGTATTTATAACAAAAGGAAATTCGAAAAAAATATATAATATTAATTTCCTACATTAATACGACAACAATTTATTTTAATTTTAAGAATGGAAAATAAGACAAGATGCGTGATTTCTATTAGATCATATCACCAGGAGAATGTTACAAACTGTGATGATAGAGAAAAAGTAAGAAAAAAAAAAAGTTACAATGAGGTGATTAGAGGGAAAAAAAAAATGGATTTTTTTACAAAAAAAAAATCAAATCTTAAGTTGCAGACAAAAAAGTGAATGGAAAAGGGGGAGTGGAAAGATATAAAAAGGACGTATTTTGTAAATACGTTTTCGACATTTTTTAATTGTAAAACGTATTTCGTGAATACGTTTTCTTTTGTAAAAAAAATGTGAAAAACGTATTTAGTGAATACGTTTTTTATCTAAATTATACTGAAAACGTATTTTGTAAATATGTGCTTTTTATATTGGTCCACTGCCCTTTTTTTTTGTTTTTTGTCCACTTATTATTTTTTTTATAAATAAATATATAAATTACTCAAAAAAAATGAGGTGATTACAGAAAAAAGAAAGAAAGAAAAGAAAAAAAACATTATGTGATTTGCAATCGATTTTAGAAAGTAAAATAATTTTGATAATGGTTTTACTCCTCTTTATATATTAGTGCGTTAACCGTGCGATGCACGAGCTAGTTTTATTAAGATAAATAGATTTGAATAATTGAAAAAACGTAAAATACATGTATTAAAATAAAACAAAATATAACTTATATATTATTAAACATATCATTGTACACAACATTATTGTTTGGTCTTTTGGTACATCGTCTATCGCTACAAATTAGAGTACATTACAATTTTCGTCTTATATGTTTCACTACTTTAACTTTTTCGTCATCTTCGAATTGTGTTTTTTATTTTCGTCTTTGAAAAAAGGTTACAAAAATGTCATTTTCGCAACAAAAAGATCTTTTATGTTTTGCAAAAAAGTGTTCCAATTTCGTCCCTTATATATGGAAAAAACTTTTGTGTAACCTTTTTTCAAACATACGAGACGAAAATAAAAAACGCAATTCGTAGATAACGAAAAAGTTAAAGTAATGAAACATATAAGACTAAAATTATAATTTACTCCCACAAATTATATTAGGATTCTAGATAGGCTTAAATAAATTAATTAAATTATTTAGCAGAATATATATAATATGATTTATATTGGTTTTACGAAAGCATATTTTATGAAGTGCAAAGTCACATCCTTCCCAAGGAATAGGACTTGAAGGTTGTAACTGGAGCCACAACAGTGTTCCACAAATATGAGATGAATATAATAGCATGCACCACCATATCCACCACTGTAATCTCTTTTTCCGTAAGCAATAGCAGTTTATTACATCCGAGAATTCACGAGGACAAATATAAATCCTCCCCTTCTAAATAATACGCTCTTTCAGACCCAACAAACTTTTCGAAGCGAAGGCACTAGGAAAGCCCGTGGGCACACGAGCAAGAGCTCAAGCATGACTGTTTACGGCTCTTTGAAATTTTTATTATTAATTAATAACCAGGTGAAAATTTCCTAATTGTAACAACAAATAAAATATTTAACAAGTGGTGTGAAGGTTGACAAGGGAGGAGTAGAGACCATCTTTGATACCGATAAGGTCATTGTGATTCCCTTTCTCTACAATGCTTCCATTTTTAAGTACAGCAATCACATCTGCTCCCCTTATTGTTGACAGCCTATGCGCGATGATAATTGTGGTCCTATTCAACATGACTTTGTCGAGTGCGTCCTCAACTATTTTCTCAGACTCGACATCCAATGCGCTTGTGGCCTCATCTAATAGTAGTATTTTTGGGCTCTTCACGATGGCTCGAGCAATAGCCACCCGTTGCTTTTGGCCACCCGACAGCTGGACTCCACGTTCTCCAACCATCGTTTCATACCCCTGCGTGCCACCATAATTAATTCCAAAATCTTGATAACGTGCGAATTAATTTTGGACGTAGATTTTTATACCTGTTGCAATCCACTAATGAATTGATGTGCATTGGCCAACTTTGCAGCCGCTATAATTTCAGACTCGGTTGTATTTTCTCCCTTTCCACTGGCGATGTTGGCTTGGATCGTGTCGTTAAACAAGATGGGCTCTTGGCTCACAAGGCCCATCTGCTGCCTCAGCCATTTTACCGGGAACTTGTTTATTTCAATTCCATCGAGCATGATACGACCAGAATCAGGATCATAAAATCTTTCAAGTAATGAAATCACTGTTGATTTCCCGCTTCCACTCTCCCCAACTAGAGCAACTACCTGAAGAATTAGGCCGACACCATACTTTCACATTACCAACCAAAATTTCGATTCTCAAAACCCTACTGTTTACAATCCAGCCAAATAAAATGCAAATATAGGAAATGGATCAAATGAGAACCAACTCTTGGCATGAAACTGATAACTATGAGATAATGCACGCAAAATAAAATGTGACTTTTTTTTTTACCTTGCCACTGTTAACAGTCAAGGAAAGATCTCTCAGGATCCGAATGCTTGGACGAGTAGGATAGCTGAAGTTGACTCGGTCAAACTCAATTTCACCGACGACACATTCTAAAGTCATGCCCGAATCATCACTAGGATCAATCTTGGATTTTCTATCAAGAATTGCAAACACAGAGGCAGCTGCATCTTTTGCTTTGCTCGAATCTGGAGCAAATGATGATGTTGAGGATATAGCAAATGCCACCATGGCCAAAGCATAAAACACCTGCACATTTTATTTTTATAGTTAGGCTAAAATATTATTATTCATAACCGCCAGAAGAAAATTGTACGCTCACACGAAAGACATCCGAACTGGTTGCTTTTCCATCCCGAAAGAGACGGCCCCCCGCGTAGAAGATTGTGGCGTACACTGAGTACAACAAGCATATGGCCAAACCAAAACCTATTCCACCAATCAACCCTTGTTTGGTCCCGTTCGTGGCCGGTCCTGTGCATTTCTTATTGTACGCCGCTATAACCTTCTCTTGGGCACAAAACGAGGCAACCGTTCTTATATTGCTAACGGCATCATTAGCAACTTGACTTGCTTCCTCATACATCAGCTGCAACCAAATTCATAGAATTGGAAGGTATACCAAATGGACTAATTAAACTAAACAAATAAATTATGTTTCCTCTCAGATTATTCTATGTTTCCCAAACTTGCATTCACAAATAATTTAAATTAGCCAGATGAAAATTTTAGGCTTCTTGCAACATTTTGAAAAGTTGAGCAATGTAAATATAACATGGGAAAATCCTTCAGCACAATTAACACTTGGACCAAAATCAAGTCCTAAAGGATATTTTTATAATTTACAAAGTTAACTACGCATTTTTTGAAAATATACAGAACCTCAGGGGTACTTTTAAACTTTATCCAATTTTTCCTTTAGTTTAAGAACCCTTAAAATCTCTATTTGAAAGAAAAAAAAAAAAAAAAAAGGAATCCTGTGTTTAGAACAAATACCTTAGCATCTCTACTGAAACCCCTCACTGATCTCATCTGAACATATCCATTGAAAATTAGCAATGGTATAGTTGCAAGAACAATAAGAGCTAGCTGCCAGCTGGCCGCACAAGCTATTCCCAGCCCCACCACAACAGAAGACAGCTGCTGAAGGAGCTCTGCAAGAAAATCCCCAACCAGAGACCGAATAAGATATGCATCGGTTGATAGTCGTGCCCCTATCGCTCCACTAGAGTTCTCTGGCCTATCAAACCAACCTATCTCAGTGTTAACTATCTTCTTGAAACACATCACTCTAATTCTCTTTATCAGTTTCACCCCGGCCATGCTGAATAGATACGCCATGGATGGGTACACGATAATGTGTATTGTTCCGAGGACTACAAACATCAGAGCCCAAAACACCGAGTCCTTTTTCAGCTGGTGTGGCGGCTCATTGAATGTTTTGATCGAGCTTGAGAGTAATAAGCCATATATTGGATGTACTGCCCCATAAATAGTGGCAAATACGGCTCCAACTACTAATGCTGCTGCCTCAGGTCGGTTGAGATAAGCTAGCCGGTACATTGGAAATTTCTCTGATGGCTCATTACAAATGCTCCTTTCCTTGGGTACATATGATGTTGTTTGACTATACAGTATGTTGTCGGGTTGTGTCATGATGATACTCGCATCTTGTTTTCCTTCCTCATTTTTGTTTATTTCTTGAGAGTTTATGAGGTTTGAGTACACTCCCTGAGGATCCCTGAGTAGTTCCAAGTGTGTTCCTGAAAGTTTGAATGGTGTATGTAGCTGATGAGTAGTGACATGTGAGTTACCTTGTGGTCTAAAAACTGTGCAAGGCATGGAAGTTAATTTTAATTTACGATGAACCCAAATACTGAAAAAAGCCCCAAATATTTGTTAAGTTGTGTTTTTCCTTCAATTTACGATGATGAACCTAGCTTCAAGGGTAGGTTTTTGTAGTTTTAAAAATTACACTTGAAGGCTTATTTTTGTAATTATCCCATACTTTAAAGACATAAATTCAGCACAGGAACCACATATGCGCATTATACTTCTACCTCGCTCAACAATTTTTCCTTGGTAAAGGACAGCAATCATATCAGCATTTCTAATAGTGCTGAGTCGGTGTGCGACTATAAGTGTTGTTCGGTTCACCATTGCCTTATCCAGAGCCCCTTGCACAGTCCTCTCAGACTCTACATCTAATGCACTTGTTGCCTCGTCCAGAAGTAGAATTCTTGGGTCTTTTAAAATTGCTCGTGCTATAGCTACTCTTTGTTTCTGTCCACCAGAAAGTTGAACCCCATTCTCCCCTACCACAGTATCAAACCCCTGCAGGAATCGATAAATTTCTCGTAAAACAAAAATTTCCTATTCATATAATACGATCCTGAAAACCACGCGCGTATTTCCAGAAAAAAGTTTTTCTAGCCATTTTGATGAAAAGATGACTCAAGATTCAACCGGTCAAAACCAAACCTGTGGTAGCTTGGAAATGAAATCATAAGCATTTGCTGATAATGCAGCATCATTAATCTCTTCAAGACTCGCTCCATCTTTCCCATATCCAATGTTGTCCCTGATGCTTCCTGCAAAAAGCACGGGCTCTTGGCTGACTAGGCCTATTTTTGACCTAATCCACTTGAGCTGGATTTCTCTGAGATCAACATCGTCGATCAACACTTGACCGCTGAGCGGGTCATAAAATCTCTCGATCAAGCTAATCACAGTGGACTTCCCACTCCCGCTGTTTCCAACCAGAGCCGTAGTTGAGCCACTGGAAATGAATAGACAAAATCCAGTAAAAATTTGTTCTTTTGGTCTTGACGGATAGCTAAAACATACATCTCTCAGTTCTATGTCTCCACGAATGTCGCCGAGTATTTTTCCTTTGTTGTCGTATGCATCTATGGTTGGTTTTCTATTCATCGTTTCAAACATCTTGGCTGCAGCCACCTGGGCGGTGGCAAATGCGGCTAGTGATGGAGCTCCTTGGCCTAGAATACTGGAATTTGTTTGGATAGTTACAAAAATTTACTCGAGTGAAAAACAATAACTAAATATGGAAATTTATATTAGCCGTCCTTGAACTTTCATTCCGTGATTACATTTTTCAATTGATGAAACTTGTTGCCATCATCAAATAACTTCATCACCCTCAAATTTTGAAAAGAATATTACAAGTAGCCCCAACGTTTCTTTGGCAACTAATATTAGCTAGAAAAATTTGAAGGATCTATTTTCGAAAAAAAAAAATGAAAATCATGATCACATTTATCAATTGATGAAACTTGTTGCCATCATCAAATAACTTCACCGCCCTCAAAGTTTGAAAAGAATATTACAAGTAGCCCCAATGTTTCCTTGGCATTTAATATTATCTAGAAAAAATTGAAGGATCTGTTGTCGAAAAAAATTGAAAATCAAGGGATGTAATAAACATATTATAAACGACAAAAGGTCGAGAGTTTTTCCGTAATATCTAAAAAAGTTGAGATACGTAACTGCAGACATTTTTAACGATGCCATGCAATTTCCGTTAACTCCACGACAGGTACAAGATGCAAAAATGTTTAACTTCAAGGTTGTTTTTAGTAGTTACCATGATTTTATTTTGGTTTTCTCTCACTCTCTCTTTTTTAATTTTCTTTTCGTTTCTTCAATTTGGCCACACCTCAAAGGTGCTCCTTGTTAGTTATCCATTTTTGTGAGGGGAAATTCAAGAAAAATATGTTCTGGCAAGACTTACTTGGAACCTATAATAACTGCAAGTAGAATGGTAAACACTTGACCACCTGTATAACCTTCTTGCAACACCATTTTTGCACCAACCCAGACGCCCAACCCAAAATTCCATAGCATGATAAGTCGGAGGAATCCAGTACCAAAACCTGCACTCGTCCCTGCTACTACATCGGATTTGTAAGAGCTCTTGAGGAACTTCTTGTACTCACTCATAACTTTGTTTTCCCCAGTTAATGATGCAACCTGAGCACATTCACGATATGTATCATTTAGTGAGTTTTCGACAAAAAAGGTTCGCTTCAGATATAGCGATTGATGTCTAATCAGAAGCCAAAGCTCATATATCTATACTAAGTACAATCAGATTAAGCCAAAAACTGATTTACCTTTTTTTTTTAAAAAAAAAGAAAATATATGCATGCAAAATGTAGAGGTTTTTGCTCAACATGGGTTCAGTAACTCACTGTTCTAATGGATCCAACTGCTTGTTGGACAACGTTTGCGGCACCAACATATGCATTTTGTATTCTTTTAGCCATTTTTGATCTGATAAAGTATGCCATCCCACTAGACATGACAGTGAAAGGAATAATCGGCAGCATCACCAGCGTAAGACGCCACCCTTTTGTGAATCCAATCACGAAGCCTCCAACAAATACCGTGACAACCTGGATGAGTTTTCCCACCTACACATCACAGCATGTGTACCGAGGAAGTACGTAATAAAAGATATACAAAACAATGAACATAAAGATAGAAACCGGTAAAAATCACCTTCTCGCCAATGGCATCTTGAATTAGAATAGTATCACCCGACATCCGTCCAATTACTTCCCCAGTACTTACTTCTTGATCAAAGTAAGCAATATCTTGTTGCAGTATAGTTGTAAGATAAAGGCTTCTAATTCTTGTTGACTGCCTTTCCCCAGTAATCATCCAGCAAGCCACCTCTATTGGTTTTATTTTTTTATTATTGAATCAAAATGCATTGCATGTTTTAGAGTGTTTAAAACTTAGGACGAAAAAATTATATTTACTCAAGAATAATAACATTTCTCCAGAACTTACGAAGAAATGCTGCTGTCCCACACCCCAAGGCCAAGTAAACATATTTAAGCACTACCTATTATAACAAATTTAAAATAACAATGAGCGATTGAATTTGCGCCAGACAAGAATCTTTTGCCCATGAAAATTATGAAACCTATTAAGGTTCAAATATCATAATTATATGAATTTCTACAGTTTTATATTTACATACCTTTGATACTTCAGATACAATAGAGTCCTTGTTTGCTTTACCAAAGACATCTATTAATTCACCAAAAATGAGGGTCATTAGGGGTTGTGCAAGCCCACTTCCAATGGCACCGATTGTACCTACTATCATCAGAATTTTATCCCTTGAATCAGCAAAAGTAAACAACTTGTAAAATGGAATAGTGTTCTTGGGCTCCTTCACTTCTTTCCCTGCACCAGTACTTCTCCCAGGTTCTGTGTCCGAAACAGCGCCTCGAATTGTGCCCATGTTTACGAATCTCCAATTCTTGATTGCTCTGTCAGAACTTTTAAAAAGTACTATGAAAAAATTATGTATGTATTTGTTTTTACAAATTTTAGCTAGCAGGTGCGACTTGTATTGTCAACATGATCTTCCAAATATGTTTTGAAAAACCAATAGAAAATAAAAGTTGCAGAATTGGGTGGTATGACTTTGTCACTGGATATGCACAAAATATAAAGAGCAAAAAATGCAAATCAGGAAGCTACAACAAGATATTAAGATAAAAGTACAAACTATATTTGAAAATTACCAAGAAAGCATGGCCATGTTGTTGCCCCTCCCAAACTACAAATGGTCATCTAACAGTGGAACACCCTGTAAAGCTAAAACTCAATTTAATAACAACAGAATAGAAACTAAAAATGAAATAAAAGAGATTCATATATTGAAATTAGATTCACTATGATCAAAGTACATCTTCAAAGTGCTATGCTAATTTATTTTTCTATTATATGAAGCTTCTTATAGTACCAAAGGTAGAAAAACATGTAAAAAAAAAAAAAATTTACAGATGTAGGAGCTTTTGTGCAAGTGGAATAGAGTAGTTTGTATAGGAGTTTTAGAGAAGTAGTTTGGTATAATATTACTACAGTAGAAATTTTAGGAAGCATTAATTTCCATACTTGATCTACTTCTTAAATTTTGTAGTACCTATCTTATTTTTTCGCCATGAGGGAGTTAGGGTAGGCTAGATGAGATGAAGTACTTTCATAAAGTATTAAGTGTCAATTAAATGTGATTTGGCAAGGGTATTGAAGCCTATAGTATACAAGCAGATTCCTAGCCGACCGTATATGCTTTTGGTGTATCTTGTTTTTTTTTTTTGGGGGGAGTGGTTTATAAACTGGGGTTCATTATATTCAAAATTCACACCTTCACCTCTGCCCACAAGCATTCATTAGGAACCTAACTTCAATTCTGTATGAGCCAACAATCTAAATCTTCAAGACTAGGTGTCCTCTGTAATGTTTTAAACACAAATAGTGTTACTTACATTTCCAGTTATATAAGAGAATCATTTAGCACACATAAAAATAGCATGATGTAAATAATTAGCATCATTCAGCACACATGAAAATAGGGAAACGAAAATAATGCACTCTTGATCACCTGTGACATGCTGAAGTTGGAACCTCTTCTTCTGAAAAATGTCCTCTTGCCATTGTGATCTTGAAGCATTCAGGAACCTTGAGAAGCTACTGAATCAAGTGCGCTTTAACGTATAAAAACTTCATAATGATAGGGAAAAGACAGCACAATGGCTCTAGGGAGCCTTGGGAACTTTTTTAACCTGAACAATATGATTCTTTCTCGAGCCCGGGTTTTTTTCAATCTTCCACAATGAGCAGTGGGGATCGTCATCATCCAAGTAATCATTGTTTTTGGGGAAGTGTTTCTCCAAAAACAAGATTGAAGTCTCTTGGTGTTAAATGCTTCCACCTCACATTGTGTGTGTTTTATAGTTATATCCTTCCCGATAACTAGGAGATTTTTAATCAACAGCCTAGAGCGCCACCTAACGATTACTCGGATGGTTGTCACAATGGTCATGACAAGAGATATTAAATTGTACGGGAACTGGCAGAAACCAGTTTACAAAGGCTAACGCAAATTGTGGTTCTGCCCAGACAGAGGACCATCTTTGTTCTAAGAAACTAGCAAAAATTCTTTGTAAGAATTTGAAGATAATGTTGTAGATAGAATGCACAAAATAGTTGAATTGAATTCTGCCTGATCTATGTCACGGAGACTCGTAAATATTGTTTCAGTCTAAGGACACTCTCTAATGTAAGTCAACTTATTATTTAAGAATTGCAACTCCTCAAACTTCAAACCAAATGCACTTTCTCTTTAGCCTCAATGCTTCCAAGAATCACTGGGAAGTGAAAACACGAATGAAAAAAATAAAATAAAATAAAACACAGCACTGACCCAACAGTATTACACTAATAAATATAACAACACGACCATAACCAACAAACATCAACAACTCATTTTTTTTCTGTAAGCATACAGTTTATCACATCCTACATATCACCAGGCAACAGGTCTTCAGGGATAATTATTAGCACCTTTAAGAAAACTTCTTATTGTAACACAACATAGTTTTTAATAAGTCATAGTTACGGAAACTTAATTAACTTTTCGCCATGGTACGCTCAAGCAACTGAATTTCAGAACCATATTCAACTTTTCACTAACAGGACCTAGGAAAAAAGTTCAAAAACTTGATCATTGTCCTCTTACTCACATCATGATTCTAGATAAGAAAGTCATATACTGCATGTTTGTTAAATTACATAATAGTTTGTTGAGAGAAGATGACAATATGGCATACGAATTAAAAACGAGAAAATAAACAACACAAGATTTACGTGGTTCGGCAATATGCTTACGTCCACGGCGGCTGAGGGATATATTTATATTATGAATCGTACTCAATACATCAATACACCATGTATTTATATCATAACCCTACAAGGTATTAATTTACTTAAATACCCCGTACCGTACCGCGGGG